CATCAGACCAAGGTACTCATTTTACGGGCAAAATTGTACAGGAACTTTGTAAAATTCTTGAAATCAAACAGAATTTTCATATATCATGGCATCCTGAGTCTGGAGGAGCAGTTGAGAGAGCAAACAAGACCATAATGGAAGTACTAAAGAAGTATGTACAAGGAGTTGGAAGGGATTGGGACTTAACTTTACCATTAATACTAATGGCCTTGAGGTCAACACCTCATGGCTCTACAGGAGTTTCACCGCATGAAGTAATGACTGGTCGTCGAATGATACTACCACATCACTTGGTCTTTGCATATCCTGAAACTGCGGGTGGATATGACTCTGAGTATTCTTATGTAATTGAACTACAAGAGAACCTAAGGCATACATTTGCCTTTGTGAGGGAGAACCTAGAAGCAACTGCCAGAGTTAACAAGAACATATATGACAGGAAAGCTACCAGCAAAGAATATGAAATCGGTGATAGAGTTTATTACTTCCAGTTCATGAACAGAAAGAAGAAAAGAAAGAAGTTTCTCACATGCTGGAGTGGTCCTTACAGRATAACACACAAGGCTTCCTCAGTAGCCTACCAAATCRATGTCAAYGGCAAGAGGAAGTGGGTCCACTGTAATCAACTAAGACCATATTTTGGACCAGCACCACTACAAAGTACAGCTCAGGATAATCTGACATCACCTGAACCTCCAATTGTCCCTTCGTTAACTACTGAGGAAACTGAAGACGGTAGTGATAGTGATCAAGAGCAAGAGTGTACTCAAGACTCTGGAGAGGGACCACAGCCTGTTGCAGCTGAGGTACCTAGTGGCGGGGAGAAGACTAAGAAGAAGAAKAATAGAGAGGCGCACTGTTCACTGCGCAATGTTCTGCCATCAAGACTGCGCAGTGGACGTATTACATAACCATGGAACATTTTAAAAGAACTTTGATATGACGTTGACATTTATTACATATTACGTTGTTACTATTATATGTCATTTGTTTATGGAGGAAACACGCAGGGGAGGACCCCATGGTTTCCTCCAGAGGGATTATAATAATGTTTTTTTGGGCTCCCTTTATATTTTTGCCCATGATGCGTTGTGGGCGTGCGAGTGGTTTGCTGTGAGAGTGTTAGTTGTCAGAGTGAGTTCCGAGAAATAAAGCGTTGAAATTGCTTCTAATTCGTCTTATTACAAAACCATGTCTAATATGTCAAATAATGTGAATTATATCAAACCATGTCTAATATGTCAAATAATGTGAATTATATCAAACCATAGTTGATATGCCAAATCACTTTCATTGTATGCGCATTATATGCGCAGTGGGCCCGTTTTTTGATAAACGGAAATGACGTAATTGTTTAAGATCGCTATCTACTGGTAATATTATATCAAACCATGGTAAATATGAAATCACTTTCATTGTATGCGCATCATATGCGCAGTGGGACCGTATTTTGATAAACAGAAGTGACGTAATCATTCCAGATCGCTATCCAGTATCAGCTAGTCGCCGGTTATGAAGATCACCACCGTATACTGTATACTTTGCAATGTTCGATCACAGAAATGAACGAGCAAATAGCTCAAAACCTTGCTTCGGCACTGAGCCAAACCATTGCCCAGTGTCTGAGGCAAGGACAAAATTCAAACACTACCAGTACTCAAAACAACCAGACGCCCTGCACTTCGTCGCCGGGAGTAATCGCGGCGGGAAATGATCAAATACAGGCCAGTCAACCTGGCCGTCAACAGGTAAGACGTACGGTTTTGATTTGTGTTTGTGCATAGTTTATTCGACTCGAGATATTTTCATGGCTAATTGTACGGCCACAATTCTGTTGCTTCGCTATTTACCACGTGCAGGCATTGCTTCTGTTATTTGAGAAGGCCTTATCACATTATAGCTTGGACAAATTGCCAAGATGGGGAGGGGAGGGAGGACTACATTGCATTCATATTTTAAATTCATTCTCTATTCTATTTTATTTCTAAACATTTCATTATTTATTGTACATTTCTTTACTCGTAATAATGGGTTAATCGAGACTCAGCCAGTCATCATTATGGCCGCGACATGCCTTTGGCATTTGAGTAGGTCAGCTATCGATATATTTTAAAACTGAATATATATTTCATGAACACCCTGACTTTCACCATACAAACAGTACTGATTTGAAGCGTTTTGACAGAAGAAAATGTATCACTATATAATGCCTTTTATCATCATTTAAAAACAATCCTAAATTAATTAGCTTTAATTAATATGAATTCAAAATCGACACTATGGGAAATACTTATATATTTCAGGGACCTGGACGACCACAAAAAGAAATTTCCGAATTAAGAATTAAGGAGATGGAGAAGATGAAATTTTCAAGAAAAGATATCGCAGAATCACAAGGGCAACCCTTTATAAAAGGCTTCCAAATGCTGTCAAGTCCAAATATTCAGAAATTGAAAGCCATGAGTTGGATAGTATTCTTCGAGAAAAGAGCTCATCCTGGTGAGTGGAGCTTTTTATACATGCACCTGCTTATTCAGATGTACCAGAGTGTTGTGAATACAGCTGTGTGGATGACGTTTTAAATTGAACTAACTTTCCTTTTCCTAACTCTTTTCCACTTTTCACTAGCTTCATATATAGACAGAAGCAAAAAGACAAACCAAGAATATTAATTCGCCTTAGAGGTTTACGAAGATGCCCCTGGTAGAGGTGTTTTGGGGGAAGGAGGAGGGGGAAGGGGGAGGGTGGTCGTGTGTGGGAAGAGAGGCGGGTATTTACACACTGTCTTTAATTGCATGCATTATGATCACATTATAATTACATTTGGCGATGGCCGTGAGTTTGCGACGATGACACATGATGAATCTACCAAGGACCATCCAGGCGGCCTTAAAGACGTCCAGAGCTTCCTATGATTTCACATCCTGTTTCTTTCCTCATTTTGATAAGAGTTTTCTGTATTTCTTCAAATATAAGATATTATGGGGCGCCAAGTGTGCAAAAATTATATGTTAAAATTATTTCAAAATTATATGGAAT